TTTTTTTTTTTTTACCCAAACACTCCGTTTTAACTTATCTCCGGTACCAAACTGAAATAAGTCAATAAGTCACTTAAATAAGCTTATCCAAACACCCCCTTGACGTTAGACAAAAGTTAGACACGAATGTGTCGTTACCGAATAAGTGTTTGTCAAATAACATTATCTCATCGAAAGAATATAGTAAGAACCAATAATATTATTCGGTAAGAGTGAGACAAGGATCAAAAGTTTTACCCGGTAAGTGAGGGCGACGACTCTTACCATAGTAAGCGCTTACCGGATAAATTGTTGTATACTATGTCGTCTTGGAGACTAAAATCTTACCTGGTAAGTACATAATAGTGTTAAATTTTACTGGTAAATGTTTAATAAACGGCCCCTAACATATTATTAATTAATCTTTATTTAATATGTAAACTTTAATATGGTGTATATTTTAGTGGTCACCGTCCCTATCGACCATCGGTGGCCACCGTCGGTCACCTTCACCTCCTCTTCCACTATAACAACCTCATCCACCACCTTTACAACCATCGTCAATCACTGACCACCATCGACCATCACCACCTCCATGTCCACTATAACTACCAACACCACCTCGGACACAACTACCTCATCCACCATTTCCGACCACCACCACCATTATCATCTTTATGTCCTCTACAACCACCGTTGGCCACCACCACCTCATCCATAGCCAACACTACTGCTACCATAACCACCATCGGCTACCTCCACCACGTCAACCACAATTGCCTCTTCCACAACTGTTGACCACCACCATTACCCACATCTTCACGTCCTCCATAACCGCCATCGTCCACCAATCACCAGTGTCTCTACCTCCACAACCATTGTTGTTGCAACAATCTTCATTGTACCTTCTTCTATTGATATGGATCTACCAAGCAGGGCGTAATTTTATCTATTGTACAAATTGGGTTTTTATAACTACCATCAATTGTATCAAATTTTCCATTTTAAATTGATATTGTTATATACAAGCGAATGATCGTGTGAGAAAGAGAGTTAAAATGAAAAGTGAAAGAAGGAATATGGACCATTGACTACCCTTTAATTTTAAACTCACTCATGAATCGCATTTGATACGGATATTGATCTGGTGCATCACATCCTAATGCGCATCCAAACGTGGATATTCATTTTTACGCTTCTTACCTTAACTTTCTTTTTCAACGGAACTCACTCAAGACATACATATATATGTGTGTGTGTGTGTGTGAAAAATGTGTAAAAGAATTTATAAATTAAACTGTTTAATTATTTACTTTATTTCTTTTAATTATAACTATTATATGATATATAAAATCATAACATAACTTTTTGGGGTAACTTGTCTAGTTATGTCATGGTTAGTCCTAGTTGTATCAAATACCAAGCAGACCCTTGTTCTGTCCAGTCCTGACATGTCCAATCCTACCCTCTTGTTTTGTCTAGTGCAGTCCAATCATGTTTGCATACCAAACGCAACATAAGAGTTAATTAATTATATATATATATATATATATTGATCGATAACCGATAGACCTTGTAAATATCGTTGACATGGATGGATGTTTAGTCGATTTATTATTGTAATTATTATCAGGTAAAAGGTTGTTGCTTCTTTCGTCTCAAAATAGGTGTCTACAATGAAAAGGTATAAATGTGTGATTATTACAGTTTTTAGTTAAGAAAAATGACAAATTTACACCTAATTACAGAGAGAGCTACATTCTTTTGAGAACTCATGAACTTGTAATAACCTACTTCATTTCAAATAAGTGTCTATGTTTCTATTTGTATTTGTCCCGAAATAAATGTCTATTTTCAAAAGTAAATAACCAAATTCTTAAATTTACTCTTATTTAATGCATAAATATTTAAAAGTCGTGAAGAGAGAAAAATAAAACAAGGGTAAAGATGTCATTTTGTTAACAAAAAAATGTAATAATTATGTCTATCTAAAACTGTTTGTCATTTCAATTATGAACACTTATCTTGGGACAATGGAAGTATTTCATATGATTTTTTTTTATTAAAGATTAAGACTTAATGTATTGATAAACATATATTCGTTTCACATATATACTTTTCACACTGTGAACTTATTTGGTGTATTTGTGAAATTGAAAATACACGTAAAAATTTGCACATTGTGAACAAAATACATATGAAACAAATATATGTTAATCAAAATACATCTTGCTTGGATGGGAAAAACAATGTAAAACAAAGTCTTAAGGTAGAAATTCTCATGGATCTCACAATTTTATAAGTTATCAAATAATTCAGCTCTTATAGAGAGAGAAAATTTCTCTATCTAATAACTAAGAGCAAAGTTGAAAAACAATCATTTACTTTTGAAAGTAAATACTTGTTTTTTAGACAAACAAAAATAGTAATGCAAGCACTTATTTGGGACAGATGAAGTATCTCAAATTAAGGGTGTTTATGGGTTGAGTTAATTAGGTTGAAAACATTTGAACAACCCAACTCAATGCTTGTTGTTTGAAAATTCTTAACCCAACCCAACATGAACCAAAGTGCAACTTAACCCAACCCAACCCGTACGGATTGGTCTCTTCTAACCTTGAACATGTTATTTCTCCACTCATAATTTTTTTTTTATCATCAATCATTTGATACAACTTATCTATGCTCCTTACGTATATCACATTCAGTTAATTTTTTTAATTTACACACACACACACACACACACATATATATATATATATTCACAGTTATTGAACATATATACGAATGAGTTATATAGAGATGTGAATAGATTGGAAATATTTGTATACGAAGAGCATACATGATAGTGTAATTGTCTAATCCATATTAATAGAAATTCAACAATCATACTAAATTCAAGAGACAAATGATATCGGGTTCATTGGGTTGGATTCAAATAATAGCAGTAACCCAATATCAACTCAATACATACGGTTTGACAATTTTACAACTCGATTAGACATCAGGTTGCTTCGGTTAAATTATTTCACATTGGGTTGGGTTGCTCCGGGTTTTGAGCACCCCTTATCTCAAATAGCGGTGGACTCAGAGATTCCTTTGAGTTGGATCAAAAGTTGGCAAAGTGACGGTTTGACAGGGGAGAAATCAACACGGTTTAATCCAAGGAAAAATCAATTGTATCAGTTTAAAGAATAAAATACATTTTTTTCAAATTGAATCGACCTTGATCATAAAAATAAACATACGTGGCCTCGAAAAGGATTCATTACATAATTAATCATATTTTATTTTATTAAAAAATATTTTAGATATCTGATTAAATAATTAAAGTTAAATCCAATGGGTCCCACAAAATCAACCAATTAGAATTCGTAGATTCTAGACCCAAACGGTACTTCTTACAACTTGTATGAATTGGACCCTACGATATGACCCCATCACTCACACTTGATAATGTTGTTGTTTTTTAAATATGAAAAATGCAAAATTTAAATATAATAAAATAAAATTTTCGATTTATTGAAGTCGACCATTAAACTCGATGTGTCTTAAGAGTCGTCTATCAGATGATTACTGGATAAGCGTTTTGGTAGTGTTTGGTACGCATACTGGATGTGACAGGACGAGACGGCACGGGACATGATGGGACTGGACTAATTGTCTGTCCTATATTTGGTACGACTAGGACATGATAGGACAAAACTATTAAAATGACCATATTACCCCTAAATATTGTTCAATGTTATTTTATATCATATAATGATTGTAAAATGACAACCAATCAATCAAAATATTGTCATTTTAACTTTAGTCCCATGTTGTTCCACCTTTTTTGGTGGAACAAGAAATATCAAGATTTGTCCCACTAAAATTAAAAATAGTCCTACCTTGTCCCATGTTTTTTTTGTCCATGGCATGCCAAAATGAGACTATTTTTTTGCCGCATACTGTCTCATGTAGTCTGCATACCGGTAAGAGACACACTCAAAGTCTTTTGACTAGTAGACGTTAACCATATAAGAATCTGATTTCTCACTTATTGGATAAAATTCTCGATTTTTATCATGCTCATTTGATAAGGTAGGTGACACCGTATAAACACTTATCCAATAAACGTTTGGTAACCATCTCGTTATTAGTATAATGATTTAATAAAAATAGAATATGGGTTGGGTTTTTCATCATGCATTCATTTGCATATACGTATATGGAGATAGAAAAAATATATTGGACAAATTGCATGAAAATGTAACATACTTTAACTTGATTCATATTTTAGGTAACGTACTTTCATAACTTCCATTTTTGGTATCTTAGATATAAAATTTTAAACATTTAAGTATCCGAGTAAATGCTTGAAACATTAACCGGTTATCATGTTGATGTTGTGAGTGATGTTGTATCCAACTCGGTATTATTTGCTGACGTGGTTAATGACATGAACTTTTTTTAATCTAAAATTAGTCTTCAACTGGTTATCTGGATACTTAAATGTTTAAAACTTTACATGTTAGGTTCCAAAATGGAAGTTTTGAAAGTACATTGTCCAAAATAGGAATCAAGTTAAACTACATTATTTTTTAATGCAATTTGCCCAACTATATTTATTAGATATCAATCAAAATTAGATCATACCAAAATAAAGCTTTTTGTTTATACATAAACGTAACGTGGCGTTCGGTTTTGTGGAATCTGATGAAGCTTGAAGGAATTGGAGTGATCAATTCTGTTGACCAAATTTTATTCATGTATTTGATTCATTCTTTAAGTTTGAGGAGGGAATTCGAATTCCACGTGGATGGAATGTAAATGCTTGAGTTATAGCAAATAATTCCAATTCATTCATCTCAACTTTTAAGAAAAAAACTATCATCTCTTATATTTATTCCATTATATTTCATCCCATCACGAAAACTGTCACCGTCGCTGTTGTTCCCACCATTGCTGCCACTGTCGTTACCACTGTCATTCACTCTCACAACCATCGTCGTCGCCGCCGCCACCTCTACTGCCGTTACCATTGTAGCCTTCACCCCCACTGCCACTGCCGACCTCACCACCACCACTGCCACCAATATCACCATCGCCACCACCAACAACATCGCTACCGCTTGCGTCCACCATCACTATTATAATTAACAAACTAAACAGATATAATCAAATTCTTGACAAAAAATCGTTCTAATTCCTGCCAATCAAATACTTCCTTCATATTCTAATTCGTTAATTCAAATTCCATCGGATTCTATTATGTAAACAAAATGGCACCTTAACTGGGAGCAATTTTTTTTCTTTTTCAATTTAATAATAAAATAATATTGGAAAAAGAAAAGAAAAATAATAACAACTTCAGAAGGTTCCTACTGGTGTCTAGAACCTTCGTATAGAGTCTGAATCTCTCTGATTTTTTAATTATTGCCCCCAACATTATATCCTATTTACAAAACAACCACCAACTTGTCAAACAGAACTTTCCCAAAGGAGAAAGCCTAGCACTGATACAAAAGATTTTTTTTTTCTGGCGCTTGTCAAAAGCTTTCCTCAATTGTTCTTCCTGTCCTTCAAATCCCATTTATATCATCTGATTCTAACTGAAATCATCCTTAAAATCCCAATTTCAATCCAGATTCTCTCTTCTTTTTGTCATGCAAACAATCTGTTCGACCTTTTGTCTAGCAGAATTTTCTTGATAACTTCATTTGAGTTTCTGTTTTTTCTGTACTTCACTATAAAATTTGATAAATTCATTCGATATTTCATTAACAAGGTCGACAACCCATCAAGAGAGATTTCTCAAAATGCAAAGTAAAGTTTCTTTTCGTTCTTGGTTTCGTTTGGTTTTGGGGGTTTAATTTGATGAACCCATTTGAGAATCGATTGAAAAGATTGCAACCCATCAAGGAATTTCGTTTAGTTTAGAGAATTTGATCATGGATCCTTTCTACTCAGTTGTTAAGGAGGAATACCCATTAGGTGGATCAAGTTCTACTGTTGGTGGCAGTGGTAGTACGGTACCGGAAAAGCAGCCGGTGGTGGTGGAAGTGCCGCAGATAATGGTGATGCAAGTGCCACAGCCAATGGAGGGTCTTCATGATTCTGGACCTCCACCTTTCTTGACAAAAGTTTATGAAATGGTGGATGACCCAAATTTTGATCACATTTTGTCTTGGAGTAGAGGAGGTCAAAGCTTTGTTGTTTGGGATACACAGGCTTTTTCTACTAATCTCCTCCCAAGATACTTCAAGCACAACAATTTCTCTAGCTTTATTAGACAACTGAATACCTATGTAAGTTCCCCCCCCCCCCCCCCTCCCCACACACACACATATATATATGGAAGTTTAAGGAATGTCTGGTAACCGTTCATCTGAATGATATACACATCTATATACAACTAATAGAAGCGGTTTGTTTATATGTATATATACATATTGGACAAATTATTTGCATGTTATTTGTATGCATGTATGTATATAGTACATATGAATGATTACCATGATGTTCATAGTTTTTCATTTTTCTATGATTTTCCTTTTATCATATACACACACACCAGCCTAAAATTGATTAGGAACTAGGAAACCGCCTCCGATGCAATAGGTGCAATAGGTGGCATATTCATCAAGAATATGAACATGTTATTATCATGAATGTGTGAGGAGTTGTTTATCTTGAACCATATTCATCATAAATGTGTTATTCATGTTGAACCATCTTCGTCATAAATGTGTTATTCATTATAAATTGCAAAGAGGGACACATGGCGCTTAGTGAGCGATTACTAGGTTCCCAATCAATTTTGTTTTTCTAAAAGAATTTCCCTCTATACACACTATATGTGTGTATATATACACATGCATAATCTAATGAGAATCTCAAAAGGTTAAGAACCCTGAGAACCAAATGAATAATATACATGTAAAAGAGTTTTACATTGTAAAACAAATATCTTGAGAAACAAACAATATTTTAAATCCTAGCATGAAAAAAATCATGGGAAACAATAAATTGAAGTTGGTTCACACGGGTTTGTAACTTTTTTTTATGGTTCTCACATCACATGATTAGCTCGACGTATACATATTGTATGCATGTCTATTAGGTTCTGGGTGAGTTGATTTAGTTAAGAATTTTCTTGAGTTCAATGAGGCTAATCTTCCAACTATGAGTTAAAGTTGCTAATTAATTATTTGGTTTTCATAATGTTCATTTGAAATTTTATAAAATTTGATCATTCAAGATGTTACATTTGATTGGTTAAACATTGGCTTTTAAACCAATCCCATAGTGGGCTACTGTCTACCTGATTTGCTTATCATATATTTTTGTGGGGCAGACTGGTATGCGCTGGGGTCGGGGGTTTAGGGCGGACCCATATGGATAGATACAGTGGCACGGGCTACTACTTCATGGTTCCGTCGTAAGGGAAAAGAATTACGTTTCTAAAGGGTGCCACCATATTGTTTTGTTGGGTGTTATCATATAGTTTTTGAAACTAAAATGTTAACACAAGACTTTAATGGCTAAGATGGTAAATGCTTTTGCCTTTGTACTAATTTGTTGGGTGCCACCAGGATTCTAAAGGGTGCCACCGTATTGTTTTGTTGGGTGCCACCAGGTTTGAGTCCCCCAATTGTAAAATTTGTTGTTTTTAGCTTAAATTTTGGTTTTTTCTTGTGTATTTAAAAATATATGTAGACCAGACTCAAACACGGGTTTCTTCTATGCAAGGACAAAGAATCGACCAACAAATTTATACTAATATTGTGAAAAAAAAATTAGAATCTTTTTATAGTTAAATAGTGCCACCACTTGAAAAAAAATTCTGGGTTCACCTCTACGAGGGTTGCCGGTTATAAACCCTTTTAGCAGAAACGAGTAGAAAAACAAGAAAAATGAGATAAACAAAGGAAAACAAGCTTGAAATTGTTACTTGGAGGTAGCACGACTGGTCATGGGTTTGCTCCCATTGGTCACCTTTTTGGCTTTTTGGTTAACTTCAGGATTCAATGAGATTAGTCGAGGTGCAATCAAGCTGATTGACAATTAAAATAAAAGACATAGAAACCCTTTGTTTGTTATGGCTAATACAGGTTTATGAGTTCTTATGCAATGGTATTGATCGAAAAATTTGAACTTAATCATATGTTTGTGTGGTAGGAACTTGTAAGCTTCAGGACATTGCGGTTTCTGTATGCAGGGTTTCAGAAAGATCGATCCTGATATATGGGAGTTTGCTAACGAAGCCTTCTTGAAGGGCCAAAGGCACATTTTGAAGAACATCAAAAGAAGAAAAACATCTTCTCATCCTCCTCCACAACAAGAAGCTAACAATCTGTGTGTTGAAGTTGGAACGTTCGGATTAGATGGTGAAGTAGAACGTTTAAGACGTGATAAACGGGTATGTTTATGAAGTATATAATATCTATATGCGGTAAATACTCATGCACACTTTTTAAACCATTGACCTGGGAGGTTGGGCTTTACTGCTGGGTAGACATGGCCAAAATTGGTCCCGGGCCGAAACAGTAACAACCTGGACTGGTCCCGGTCCCGGTCCCGGTCCCTTCGAAAATAGTAAGGCCCGGTTAAGGGTACTTGTAAGCCAGGCCCAAACCGGTCCTATATTAAAAACAAATTTTTTTGATAAATTTTTAACAACACTTTAATGTTATTTTGATACACTTTAAAATATATAATTGGGTCAATCAAATACACTTATTAAATACGTATTATTGTAGTTTTATAATTGTTTTCAATGAAATACACTTAAAAAATACGTTTTATTGTAGTTTTGTAATTGGTTTTCAATCAAATACACTTACAAAATTTGTTTTATTATAAATTTGTTATTCATTTTCAATCAAATACACTTAGAAAGTTAGAAATACATTAAAAATACTTATAAAAATACACTTTTTTTAAAAAAATCAGACCGGTCCCGGGCAGGGCCCATAACTGGTCCCAGGACGGGCCTAGTTTTTTGACGAAAACCATTAACCGGTGGTCCCAAACCGATTCCATCGGTCCTCGGCCAGGCTGGGCGATTTGTCCATCTATACTGTTGGGTCAATAACCCTTTGATGTGATAAATGAGTTTTCTTTTAAGTATGTAATATTTATATACCGCAAATGCTCACACACAAGGCTCAAGATTTTTCAGGACTGGGCCTGGGCTTTTGTAGCCTGTCTTCAGTTAGCAATAAATAAGGTCCAGGCTTTTTAAGTCCCAGGCCGGGCCTGGTTTTGGGGTTGAAAAAGAGCCCAATCGGGCTTTTTAGGGTTTACTAGGCTTTTCCAGGGGCCTGCTGCCAATATTTTGGCCTGATCGGGGTTTTGGGCCTGGTCTAACCCGGTCTTCTGGCTCACTAGTCCCGGACTTTTTCAGGCTGTGCTCGGGCTTTACTAGTCCGTTTTCAGTTAACAATAAAAAAGGTCCAGGTTTTTTATGGTCTGCGCCTGGTTTTGGGGTTGAAAAGGGCCCAATCGGGCTTTTCGGGCCAGGCTTTTTTGAGCTTGACCAGGCTTTTCAAGGGCAGGCCTGCTGCCAATATTTCAGCCTGATCGCGGTTTGAGGCTTGGTCTGACCCGGTACTGGGGCTCACTAGTCCCGGGCTCGGGCTAGGACTGACCGGGCTTTGGGTTTGGGCTTTTTTGTGCATCTCTCTTGCACTCGCTCCTCGCCTTTGGTGAGGTTTGAACCCTTGACCAGTTGACCTTCTGGGAGGCTTGACTTTACCAATAACCCGGATACCGCTTGACCAATGACCCTTTGGTGTGATAAATAGGTTCTTATGACGGAGCTCGTGAAACTCAGACAACAGCAGCAAAACACCAGAAGCCATCTTAAAGAAATGGAGCTCAGATTAAAAGGAACAGAAAAGAAGCGGCAAAAAATGATGGGTTTCTTGGCGAAAGCTCTGCAAAATCCCGAATTCATACAGAAACTCGCTTCTCATGGTGAAAGAAAGAATCTTGCAGAAGCCTTCATGAAGGAAAGGCGAAAAAGACCAATTGATCACGGATCTAATCGTGTTAACATCATGGAATCATCTGAAACTAGTAACGAATTTGGGGACCTTTCGGAGCTTGAGGAACTTGCTTTAGAAATGCAAGGTGTTGGTAGATTGAAAAGAAGTCAAGAGGAAGAAGCTAAAGATCTTTCCGGGGTTCAAGAGTTCGATGAGGAATTCTGGGAAGAGTTGTTTAGTGAAAGATTTGACATTGCTGGAAGCGAAGATGGCGAGGCTGATAGGTTGGATTTCTTGGGTTCAAATGCGAAGTGAAAACCGACATTTATCTCCATTGATAACAGTTGAAGACACAGAGAATTATAACCAGTTTCTTGATCTCACCATTGTTGATTAACTTGTTGATTCTTGATCTTTTGTAGCTAGGTGCATTGGATCATGACGATGATCAAGATATGATGATGATTATGATTGATCAAGATATGATGACTTTGGACAAATTTGTTGGATTGTGGATTTTCCAATTTGGTTGGTTGAATTCTATCTTATGAGAATATGTTTAATCCCATTGGATTACATTACAAAAAAGAGGTTTCTGACATATATTAAGAAGAAATGGTCGAAATCTAGCTGATATAGGGATCCAACATGCCTCTTCCAACGAAGGCTAGATGGGCAGAGATTTGTTTCTGAGCGTCGAGACTAGAGATGATCAAGCCCGTGGTCTTTGAATCCCGTTTTTCAGTAAACAAAGAAAACCCAGGCTTTTTGGGGCCTGGGCTGGGCTGGGTTTTGGGGTTGAAAGAGGGTACGATTGGGTTTTAACCGTGCCTTGAAAAAGAAGTTGACATGATCAGACTTTAAGGCCAGGCCTAGGTTCGGGGTTTTCGGGCTTGGGCCTAGCAGGCCCGGGTTTAGTTTTTTTTTGTGCATCTCTAGTCAAGACCCTAAAATGGTAGATTTTGACTCTTGACGACCCGTTCACACGTCTATTTGTCTAGCCCCCTCTGGCCCTCGCGACACTCTGGGCCAATATGGGCTCGTCTAGCCCCCTCACCTGTCCATGCCCCCTCTTGACAGTCGACACTCTGGGACAACTTGTGCCGGTCTAGCCTCCCATATCAGCTAAACTTTGACAAATTCTCCCCCGTAAATGTTGAAAAACTCCATTCTCTTTCCAAGAGTTTTTTTTGACTGTAATCTAATAGGGTTCCATATATTCTCACATATTTGATTTTGTAATGCATTTATGGTTCTTATGACATGACATCATTTTGATTCAAGTTTTGTTGTCATCAACAGTATACAGCATGAAGTTGTTGCCATTGTACCCATCTCCTGATTTAATTTTCTTTAGTTTTTTTAGTTATATTCAGGGGCCGTTTACTAAACGCTTACCCGATAAGCGTTTAAAGGGTCACTTTACCTTAGTGGATAAACATGATGATAAAGATTGAGAATCTTACCCGGTAAAGCGATGACAAGGGTCAAAGAGTCTTACCCGGTAAGTGTGGTTGACGACTCTTACCCTGTTAGCGCTTACCGGCTAAATTGTTGCATGCGATGCCGTTTTAATGGATTAAAATCTTACCCGATAACGTAGGCGAAAATGTTGACTTTTACTAATAAACATTTACTGGGTAAGCGTTTGGTAAACGGCTCTTGGATTTATCTACAGATTCAGTCACATCTCATATGTCATTCTTTCTTAATTGATCATCAGATTGGGAAGCATTTTCTTGCCCAGAAGATGAAGATTTCTTGGCTGCAATTTGGGATTCGCTTATAGTATTCTTTAATCATCAAATGCTTTTTAGTTTGTAAATTTACCAAAATAGCCTTTTGATTTCTTGGTTTTTCCTCATTTCTGTATGTAATATATTTAGAAACACCAAACTGCATTGCAATAACCGAATGTAATTTGAGGGATTTGGATTTGAATTCTACTCCAATCTGATGTTTGATTTGCAGGATTGTCATAATTTGAAATCCTATGACTGATGGATTTGGAAATCGTTTGGAAGGGGTTGGTATTTTAAATCAAAATCCCGTGGGACTTCAAAAGTTGCTGCAAATGGAATAATTGGACGTGAAAATCCTATGGAAAACAACACCGTTCGTCTGCAATCCGGCAAAAGAAGCCCGCTGTAGATTTTCTGGCAACCAGAATCATACCCCCCAACAAATCACTGTTCCGTCGACTCTGATTGCACAAAATCGATTATCTCCGATGGACACCGATTTAAACACACCATTTGGGTCTCTTCCGTACGATCTAAACCACCACCGGAATCAATACCACAAAAACCATTATATCTAGCCGAAACCACATTGTAGTTTCCCACCGGAGAACTGTTGGTGAGAATATTCTTATCTGCCGATCTATTCAATGTTGGAATCCGACCCGCTATTAATGTGGGTATCTCTGTTTCCAGAGTGGGGTCTGCAGCTCAAATTAAAGCTATGAAACAAGTAGCYGGTAAATTAAAATTGGAACTGGCACAATTCGCAGAATTAGAAGCTTTTGCACAATTTGCTTMTGATCTCGATAAAGCTACTCAGAATCAATTGGCAAGAGGTCAACGCTTACGTGAATTGCTTAAACAATCCCAATCYGCCMCTCTCGCGGTGGAAGAACAGATACTGACTATTTATACCAGAACAAACAGTTATCTCGATATGTTGAAATGATTCATATAATCTCCTAAACATCTAATTTCTCTGAATTCGTTCAATCCACAAACAAAATTCTCTCCAACAACAAAGCTATATCGAAATTGGCACCGATTGAGAGTAGAATCTCTGAGTTGATTCCACTCAACGATTGTGCAACGAAACTTGTTTATAAATGCCAAACGGTTGTGCCTAACACTGACAATGATTTATTTGTCAAAGTTTTGTTACAACCAGTGACGGTTAATCGTTGGAGAACAGGATGGGTTACATTTATAGCACATTTCTTGAGTGATTCCGATAGATCGGTGGCTTCGATGAACAATAACTTCTCGAAATTGGGCTTGAGAAAAGAAGATCATATTAAGGTAAGTTGGATTGAATTGTACTTTACTGGTTCAACTTCGATCTCAACACGACGGCGCCGAAGATCCTCCTCGACCGCCAGTCCGACAATGTTAGCACCGGAAAACGAAAGTCCAACTATGTGCGATCGTGCAAACTCCAATTTCAGAATTTGGGGTGAAATCAATCTTCGACAAACTGGTTGAATTGGGAAGATGGACTTCGTTTTTAACCCGTACAACGGGAGAAGGCACGGGATTTCGGCTGACAAAACCGCATTTCCTCACCGCGTCGGAAACATTTTCAAAATATAGTTTTAGAGAAATCGATAGCAAAAAAATAATTTACAACCACAAGGGTGGTGCTTGATTGGTTTGAACTTGACTCCAAAGGTCAAAGTACCAGAAGGTCCCAGATTCAAATCCATATTTCCTTGTGGCCACGGAGGTTCAAATGCGGTGACTCCGGGCTATGCAAAACAGATTGTCGCATTGAGATTAATCGGCTCACATAGCGAATTGGATATCCAGGTTAATAAAAAATAATAATAATAATTTACCGACGAAAACAAATTCTTTATTAAACAAACAAATAATTAAAAAAATTAAATTAAATTAAATTAAATCTCAATCCAAATCCAAATCCTATAATTTATAATATATATATATATATATATATATATATATATGGGCCTATTCAAGGGAGAACTGAGTTGTTTGTGGTAACTGTGAGAACCAATATTAACCACAAATCAATAGATAAATTAGGAAATTTATAAATTTGGTAATTTTAAATTAAAATCTTAATGCAAGGATATTTTTGGTATTTTAAAACTCTCATCTCTTCTTTCTCCGGCCACCGTTCTCCGGCCTTCGGCCACCATCCTCCGGTGATACCACTATGATACCACTGTGATACCTAAAAATATCGACTCTGTTAAACAAAAGATACATTGTGATACCTAATCATATATAAGATGCATAGTGATACCACTGTGTTACATCTTCGATCGATCACACAAACGACATCAATGTGATACCCAAGCACATATATGATGCATTGTGATAGTATCACCGGAGGACGGTGGCC